AAACGCTACAGCGATTCAAACGCTACAACGCTATAAACGCTACAGCACTACAAACGCTACAGCGCTACAAACGCTACATCGGTACAAACGCTACAGCGCCACAAACGCTACAACGCTATAAACGCTACAGCACTACAAACGCTACAGCGCTACGAACGCTACAAACGCTACATCGATACAAATGCTACAACGCTATAAACGCTACAACGCTATAGCACTACAAACGCTACAGCACTACAAACGCTACAACGCTAAGCGCTACACCGCTACAGCGCTACAACGCCATAGTGCTACAACGCTAAACGATACAACGCCACAACGTTAAACGCTACAACGCTACAACGCTAAACGCTACAACGCTACAACGCTAAACGCTACAACGCTAGAGCGCTACAACGCTACAACGCTTAGAACGCTACAACGCTACAGCGCTACAGCGCTAAACGCTACAACGCTAGAGCGCTACAACGCTGCAACGCTAAAAACGTTAAAACGCTACAGCGCTACAACGCCACAGCGCTACAGCGCTACAGCGCTACAGCGCTACAGCGCTACAGCGCTACAACCTACACCGCTACACCGCTACACCGCTACAACGCTAAAAACGCTACAGCGCTACAACGCTACAACGCCACAGCGCTACAACCTACACCGCCACACCGCTACACCGCTACAGCGCTAAAACGCCATAGTTCTACAACGCTAAACGATACAACGCCACAACGTTAAACGCTACAACGCTACAACGTTACAACGCTAGAGCGCTACAAYGCTACAACGCTTAAAACGCTACAGCGCTACAGCGCTAAACGCTAGAGCGCTACAACGCTGCAACGCTAAAAACGTTAAAACGCTACAGCGCTACAACGCCACAGCGCTAAAGCGCTACAGCGCTACAACCTACACCGCTACACCGCTACACCGCTACAACGCTAAACGCTACAACGCTACAACGCCACAGCGCTACAGCGCTACAACCTACACCGCTACACCGCTACACCGCTACAACGCTAAACGCCACAGCGCTACAACCTACACCGCTACACCGCTACATCGCTACAACGCCACAGCGCTACAACCTACACCGCTACACCGCTACACCGCTACAAACGCTACAGCGCTACAGAGCTACAACGCTACAGCGCTACAAACGCTAGAACGCTACAACGCTACAACGCTACAGCGCTACACGCTACAACGCTACAACGCTACAACGCTACAACGCTACAACGCTACAACGCTACAACGCTACAACGCTACAGCACTACAAACGCTACAACGCTAAATGCTACAACGCTACAACGCTAAACGCTACAACGCCACAGCGCTACAACCTACACCGCTACAGCGCTACAACGCCACAGTGCTACAACGCTACAATGCTAGAGCGCTACAACGCTACAACGCTAAAAACGTTACAACGCTAAAAACGTTACAGCGCTACAACGCTACAACGCCACAGCGCTACAACCTACACCGCTACACCGCTACAACGCTAAACGCTACAACGCCACAGCGCTACAACCTACACCGCTACAACGCCACAGCGCTACAACCTACACCGCTACACCGCTACAAACGCTACAGTGCTACAGAGCTACACGCTACAGCGCTACAAACGCTACAACGATAAACGCTAAACGCTACAACGCTAGAGCGCTACAACGCTACAACGCTAAAAACGTTACAACGCTAAAAACGTTACAACGCTACAGCGCTACAACGCTACAACGCCACAGCGCTACAACCTACACCGCTACAACGCTACAGCGCTACAACGCTACAACGCTACAACGCTACAACGCCACAGCGCTACAACCTACACCGCTACACCGCTACAACGCCACAGCGCTACAACCTACACCGCTACAAACGCTACAGCGCTACAGAGCTACAACGCTACAAACGCTAGAACGCTAAACGCTACAACGCTACAGCGTTACGAGACTACTGAGCTACAAAGCTATAGCACTACAAAGCGGATGCAAAACGCAATCGTAAATTATGCCAGGTATAACATGAAATAGTTCAGTATCTCATTTCATGCTTGTCGTTGTTATGTTAATGATCTGATAATTTTATTTTTCTCGTTAGGTTCCTAACCATCAGCCTAAGTTTGATGTTTTAGTGAATGATGAATGGAGTAAACGTCACATGGTAATAAAGAAATTTGTACAGGCTGGAAGAAAAGTAAGTCCACAGGACTTTTACTATATAAGTATGCAATATATTACAATATATTACTTATAGACATTCTAAAGGAAAATCGTTCATTCTTTCCCTATAGGTAATAATTCGCACACGTGCAACAAAGAACATTCATTCACTAACAGAGTTTTTATCTGGATGGAGAAAAGGAAAATTTTGCAGAGATCAAACAAGTTAGTGCACTACTTTATTTGTATTTTGGAGTCAGTCTGCCATTTTGTAGCCTTGTGAGCAATTTTTTCTCCTTCGTAATTTATATTATTTCATATCTGTAGTGATGGGTAAGCAGATTAAAGATTTATTATTAGGCATTTTAATTCAAAACTTTGTAAATGTACATGTAATACGAGTTATCATAAAATTACAAATTTATAAATAAGTTCAGATTATAACTTTTTACTTTTCATAGGACGTCAAATGGCAGAAAGTGAAGAAGAAAAACTATTTATTGAGCTACAAAATAGTATTTGTGCATCTCGGGTACATCCATTTTGTTTTCCTGCTTATAAGTCTCCTGACACAAAAGATGACCTGGTAATGTACCATATTTTTCCAATATAATTTTTACTTTTTCCCAGATACTTATACTTTGTATATAATATAGTTTGCCCGTGTTGGAATAGACCTTCAAGGGGTGATAAATGGTCATTCCAAGGTTTTGCAAGAATACAAACAATTTGTATTTTCAGACGTAATAGTAATGTAAAGGAATATAATACTCTATATTAAGTATTAGTGATCCAAGGTTCAGGAAAAAACTGGGTCGAGTTGTGATTGCAGTGCATTGTGGAACTGCTTAAGGAAACATTTTTTTCAAGATGGCATCTCTTTTGTTATCTACCGCAGTCTACTGAACAAAACAACATAATACCTGTATTCCTCTCAACCTCKGAATGGCTAATAGCCAAGGGGAAAAATTTGAAGATGCTCAGTGTTTAAATGACCATCTTGATTTTCGATATTTTTGTTAAATCCTCCTTGTATCTTACATTCAATTTTTGCTAATTTTTAGGATGTTGATGCATTAGGTACACTAACAGTACAACCAACCATAGTCAACATAAAGACACACATACCTTACTACAACTTAAAGGTAGAGTGATTCCTTCAACTTAAGCTATTCAAAATGTCCATATTATTACAAATTATTATAATAAAATATTGTTTTTGGCAGGTCCCTAAATATTATCGTGTATGGGGATATAACGCCCATTCTGTTGCGGCTGCATCAAGTGGATATGTAACATCTAAGCTAGTGCGTAATCTTAGAACAGGAGCTCAGGTAATATACATTATTTGAAAAATATCTGAATCACAGCAGTGTGTGTTTTAAAATTGACGCYTTTTGGTTAAACTGAATGTAATTTAGGATGAGGTTGTAAGCCTTTCTAGCAATATTGCTGTGTCAAGTACCACGAGCCAAAGCCCTGGCTTCGGTGATGAAGAAGAAGAGCTGCAGGTGGATGATGTAGGGAGAGGCGTGACAAGCTCTTCCCTAAAATCTCGTGCCACATACATGATACCAGACGAAACAGCCATGACAGAACCAGAGGTTGCTCCTCTTGTAGTACCAGCTGCTTTATTCCAACCTCTACCCTACCACCCTATGCACATTTTTGTAAGTACGATGTATTGACAGTCGGTGATCAGACATTTTAAATTTCAACTTAAATTTTAAATTAAACTTATGCACATACATCAAGATCTCTTAAATCTGTTTTTTTTTTTAAATGAAATACTTATAGAATCCAGCACCAGGGCTGCAAGTATTCAAGCCACAGCTTCCTTACAGTGAAGTGGATGAAGATTATCACTTGTGTCCATTACCACGACACAGGCAACCTACTAGAGGAAGCAGTGGAAAGCCAGGGCGACGGTACTTAGAAAGACAGGTATGGTCAAATCCAATATTGGACTCCAGGTGCAATGCTGCGGTAGTCAGTTAATGTGATTTAATGCACTTTAATCACTGGGGGAGGGGGAGGGGGAGGGGGAGGGGAAGGGCGAGGGAGACGATAAATTCGTTGACACGCCCTAACTTTGGGCCACGTGCTTTGGGGAGGTTCAGTTTTATTTCTTTATTTTAGGATGTTATACCAAGCGTAATGACTTGGAAACGCTTTCCTTGCCATCCACTGGTTTCTGTTACAAACCATCCTACATTATCTACAGTCTGGCTTCCCAGATGGTAAGGCTGAAACATTGTTAAATAGCAAGTTTTCTTATATTTTATGTGCGCGTGACATTGCATCAAATCAATTAGCAAAGTCTATGGCAACTAGTTTTCAGGACTTACGTACCTTACTGTYTTTACTTTTGTGAAGCTGTTACCCGCAATCCTTCCGATCCCGGTTCTCAAAACCGAGGATAACTTTTCCATATATCAAGGTGATTCCYTTGAAATAGAAGGAGAAAGTCGTTCATTGCACGATGGACGTTTCAAATATGCAATAAAAAGGGTGGGTCACTGTCATGATATTTAGTGGAGGCTTTGATTATGATTGCTTGCTTTAATGACGAACAATTCGGTATACTTATTCTGGTGCTTAACTTGATACAATGTGTGTGTAGAGAGAGAGAGTCATATTACATTTGTTACATAATAGAACCTAATGTTGCGTGACAAGTATATATTATTACRGTCACCATTCTCGTTTTCGTGCTACACATGACCACAAAATATGACAAAATACGGCCTCGATATAACAGATATGGGTGTAACCCGAAGTCGAATAAAAGTAACACCATTCCTTGCAAAATCACATGTTTTAAGCAAACTACGCAAGGTAATCTTAATTGCACTTGTTAAGCATTTCATCATCACTTTCAAGTAATATTGTACAAATGCCTGTAGAATTTTTGTTTAAATATGGAACTACGTGTGCTCTTAAGAGCCGACATGAATTCAAACTCTTCATCTATTTTCATCATCAATATATAATATATAAGTTCGAGAAATTTTATTTTATTCATATTTTATTCATATTTCGTGGGTAGATGCTCTATAGTCTCCTAAGTTAATATGTGCAATAAAAAATGGGTGTCACCATTCTCGTTTTGGATTTATTTTGAAAACAAATCTCGCAAAATGGTTGAAAACTCGCATTTTTCCGAGGGAAGACTGGGCCGAGTTTAACGAAATRGCAATTTTACGATTAAGAAAAAGGAATGAATTTGGATAGAAATYTTACTTAGTATATGAAAGGAAAATGACCAAGCTGTTTAAGTTCGATGATTTTACTCCTATGCGCAGCAAATGCGCAGTGCAAAACAAGGGAATTACCTTACCTAACTTTACTGTGCTAGACATATAAACGAATAGTAGCATGGCGAATGTTTAACTAGCTAGGTAAAGCTTATACAACAAACCTGGTAAGCTGTGCATCTTATTACAACTGAACCTTCATCCAAAATACTTTTCCTTTTTYGAACGAGTTATATAAGCAGGACGACGAAAATGGTCTATGATTACAGTTAAAATCATTCAATACCTTTGATTATTTGAATTTCAAATGGATATTGCTGAATACTAGACTGCCGCCAAGTTAACGTTAATTCTTGATAACCGGTTATAGGAGCGATCCATTTAGTGAAGATCTCCTACCAACTGAAGTACCTCTGTTACTGAATGGTCTACCAGATGATGACTACTCAAGTGAGGAGGAAATGTAAGTTATATGTTAGAATATAGCACAYAAATGTAAATATGGCTCCATGCATTATCAAAATGCTTAAACTTCGGTATTTGTATGTTCCCCCTTTTTTGTCCATAAAAGTGACGAGGAAGACGACGTATTAAACGAAATTGCAGTACCAACACCGGAGATGGTTAGTGCTCAGTTTCCAACAGCCGAAAAAGTCCTTGCAGAGCTGCAGGTCCAACATCCACCTTCACAGCTCAGGTACACTCTTTCTACACTATCATTTGATGTCCAGCTGACATTCTGGCCTTCTTTGTTGCAAGCACAATAGTATTGACTCCAATCCCTCCTCATGCCATTTTCCTATACCTAGTCTAGTTAAAACTAAGATCATTCTAGTTGGCACCATAGTTAATAGCGCATAAAGTTCTTCCCAAAGCTACTTTTCTAACACTCTATAACACYATAATCTTACCGCTATTTGACTATTGCTCGCCTGTCTGGTACATCTGCGGTGCTGGTAGCAAGGCTTATCWGGTAACCTAAACAGACGAGCTGCCTGTGTTATCGAAGGCGGTGCTCTTGCTTCCGATGAGTTGAAGCTAATACTTGGCTGTTCCACTCTACCGGCTGCGCCCCAATACCTCAAATGTGTGTTAGTTAATACATCTCTCCATGGTAGGCACCGTCTAGCCTTCTACGCGTGACAAACTCTAAGAACRTCTGCATAGGAGGCTAGGCACCATTGTACTACTTTCAGAATTTAAACATGCCCATAAATCCATACCTACAATACCCGTAGGTCGTCTGCCTCTTGCTAAAAGTCTCCRGCGCAATGTAACACGTGCATTTAATTCCCTGCCTAGCCATATTTAGCCTGTGTACAGCTGCTTACCTCCCCTCCCCCCTACGGGGCAAAACGGGAGCTGTTTATACTTATCAGGACTCCATTTGAAAAAGCTATGCTAAAAGATAAATATTGATAAAAATAAATAAATGCCAACTTGTAGGAGATGAAATCAAATCAATTAATTACAGTACATTACTTTGCTTTACAGTGATGTGATGATTTCAGTAAATACAAAGCTTCAACCACAATTAAATTATTCGAGTTCAAATGTCGTCTCTTCGTCAAGGTATTTACTTTTCAGTTTTCTAGTGCGATTTTATACTAAAATTATTGAAGATAAGCAGCACTACCAAGTAGGTTAGCTAGGTTAACCTACTGCTGTGGAGAAGTCTTAAATTGATATCTTTCGTGATATGGGCAATTCCTTTTTGACTGTGCAAGGGCGGATCCAGGGGGAGGGTCGGGGGGGGGGGGGTCGCGACCCCCCTGTCATTCCTGAGGTCAAATGGGCTTCCTGTGGTAAAAATGTGACTGGGATTCCTTTGCCCACAAAATTTACCCCTGAGACCCCCCCTTCAAAAAACCCTGGATCCGCCCTTGCTGTGTGTGTTTGATATATTGGGAGGCAATTCAGGAATTATGTACACATTCCGCCACTAATGCCCAATAAGTCATATGAAATGAAACCGTAACAAAGACTCATTTTCATTTATCTGTTTACTTTTTAACAAAGTGCGAACATCACGCAATTAATTTTCTTTTTTCCCCTTTTCTTCGTTTTTCTTCGTCATATATTTAGTTTTGCTCAACCTTCAAAATACTAATTTAAAAAAATGCGATTTATTTGTTCTACAGGGATCAACGAGAAAAAGAGCTCAACGATTTTATAAAGCAAAGACAAAATCGTCTTGGTACTCGTATCAGTCAACGAGTAACTTCAATGCACGACCTGCTCAGTTTGTCTGATTTGGTCTTAGAGTAGTAGTCGTCGTTATGATGGTGTCGTTTTTATAATAAAAGCATATCAAATTCCGAAAATTATTTAGCAGTGACATGGGAGAATATATTGATTGGGGCATTATTGTATTCATAATATTAATTATCATTGCCAATTTAAAATCTCACTGTTGATTTTGTGCATATCTTGCGATCTTTTAATTGATATTGAAAAAAAATGTGTCCAGTTTTTACACATTCAAATTTGTGATTGTGTGGATTAAAAATTTGAAACAAAATAAGATAGCAGCAGAATGAAAAAGAACGTCCTCATTATAAGAAGGTGACGATGTAAAGAAATAAAGAATTTATTTAAGAACCGTACATTTAAGAATATTGCCCTAACATGCAGATACAATACGCGCTAGTTATCGAGATCAGTTACTGAACAATTATTCCACAATGCACTGCTGTACTGGTCGCTCTCCGGTGTAAAATAGTCAAAGTCTGATTCAAGACCGAGTAATAACTCCTTTACTTGTAACGTAGAAATTTGTTTTCCCTAATGAGAAGAGGGATCAAATTGTGATGTAATTAGAAAATGCTTTAGTCTTTGATGTGATGTACTAAACGCAGAGAGGGTGGGGCTGAGGGGACTTAGCTCGCATTTTATTAGCTATTATCAAAAGACCGTGAAGTCCTGTCACTTGCTATTATGTTTAAAACTTGTTTTCAAAGTTTGAAAACTCAACATCGACTAGTACTATCTTTTAAAAAAAATGGTGCTCCGAGGACCTTAATGTCAGGCGTGGACTGACCAAGGTTATATATATGTATATGCAGTTAAGTGCCGTACCAAATGTTCTAAATGTAATCRTGATCATAGTAAACAAACTGTTAAYGAAAAGAACAAACTAAGGCCTACCTTATCTCGCACTCCTCTTGCGTGTTCTTCCCTTAGCTGTTGTTTTCTGATAACATTTTCTACGATCTTTTTCCTATTTTGTTGTGTGATATTCATTTTCGTTTCAAGTGTGAAATGAACTCGTTGTGCCCAAGCATGGATTTGGGATTCGGCTCTTCTCCTGCCAACACTACTTCCGCCCTTTTTCGCTGTTGCCTTAATATTTTCGAGCTGTTTCTTTCKGTTTTCAGCAGCTTTGGCGTGCTTTTTAGCAAGCTGTTTGATTTTTCCTGTATTGCTATCTTTCAAATTATCCTCATTCTTTCTTATCCTAACTTTTGCAAAACTAGCTGCAGTTTTCTTTTTCGTTTCAAGGTACTTGAGTCGATTTTTCTCGGCTTGTCTATGCTTCTCTAAGATCTTTTCTTTGTTTAATTCTAAACCTGGCTTTGTAATGTTCTGGAAATTCTGCATGGTTAATCGGCTTGGTTGATTTTGTTTGGCGCCACTTTTAGCCTTAAAYCCCACATCAAAGACATCCCAGTTTGGCTTGCAATTGTGATTAGAATTAATCCAAATGAGCTGTCCATTATTTCTAGTTGCGGAAACCAATGTGGATGTACCCTTTTTAGCATGGTTTTCTTGTTTTGCAAAGAATTCAATCGCTGGATCAACCTTGCTGTCTTTCTTTACTACTGAAGGTATTCCACCCATTGTGCAGGTTAAAAATTGTTATTTTTTCCGACGATTGCTCCTTTGTTGTGTCATTAATAGAGCCCAGGCCAGAGTCAATGACGCGCGAGCTTTAATTTGTCACACAGGAAGACCAAACAGAATATGAGCTTTAAACGGAATATAGGRAAAATTTCATGCTTTTAACCAAATTCCCACAATTTAGCTAGAAAGAAAAACTAAGGGCTAAAACAGAAACGCACAAGGGAGCTGAATTCAACCCCCTTTAAGGTTCAGTGTTAAAAACCTGTGTTTAGAGACAGGAGCCAACAAGTTGCGGATACGGGTAGTTATAATTACTACCATATTATCGAAGTTGAAGTGCGACCCGCGAAGTTTTACGATGTCTCGTTCCCCGACTACTGATTTCAACAACCGTCAATCAAAGAACTGATCATGAAATAAATTAAAAAAACTCATTAATAATTCATGAATTTGTGGATTCGTCTATATAATAAAAAGAAAATTACACGTTGGCTTAAAGATATGAAGTTTATCTTCTTTTGATGAAAAATATTTCTCTCGTTCGCTGCGCTCACYSATGAAATATTTTCACCACTCCGCGAAAATAAGCCTTTTCACAGTTTAAGAATCGATTCCGATGCGCATGCGATTTTATCCCGAATTTCTCACCTTCTTTAGTTTAATTAAGAACAAAAGAAGGTTTAGACACTGAAGGTGAGAAATTCGGGATAAAATCGCATGCGCAGTGGAATCGATTCTTAAACTGTGAAAAGGCTTATAAACTCATATCTTCGCGCCACTGTGTAATATATACATACGGTAGAGTGCACGCACTAAACCCGTGAAACTAATACTAACTTTTAGTACTAAATTGTGATAAATGAACAATAGAAAACAAAGGATTCTGTATGAAATAGTACTAATTAGTACTAATTAATGTGAAAACTGCAGTTTGCATAAACTTTGAATCTTTTGTGCATATACATATCAAAAGTATACCAAAAAGTTTGGGATATGATCCCTGATATTYTTTCAAGCTGTCTATCACTAGGGCTTTCTGGAAAAAAATCAGGGAGGATATCCCATAATTTTTGTTATACTTTTGATATACTTTTAAGTACAAAAAATATATGTAGTATCTAATAACAAACAGGCGGCTCAGAAATCAGAAATCCTGAATCGTAGGATAAAATAACAGTTTAATTACCATTTTCCCACAGTCATAGCGTAATTTAATTTTCTGCGTATCTATTTTGCTGATACTTTTACAGAACTGTATAAAGTAGAGAACGTGGTGTAAATGCAGGCGGTGCCAGGGCGCTTATTAGGTACCTAATTRGCGCCCTGGGCGGTGCCTGGTGCAAATGAGTCTTGTTTCGGCGTCCGAGCTTGTTGGATCATAGCCTGCGTTKCGGCGCTCTAATGGATTGGGAAAGGAGGAGGGAGGAGGAGGGTTTAATAGGGTTAGCTCCCTCCCTCTATTTTACCGCCTCCCCCTTCCCCAATTCCCTACGCTACGCAGGCTAGGTGGATCAGATTTATACCATCATTCAAAATGAAAGCAATTGACAATTATTAGTTATCGTTAGTCCACATGTTTCGCTTTTTATTAGTATAAATCGTTAGTCAAAATGTTTTCACGTAATTGGTTACCCTGTGGTATAAGCTAACTCCGGAATCCGCTGTCATGAGCAAATGCTGGCTCCCTCCTCGAAATATTATCTTCGGACTGATGAAAGTTGAGGGAKGTCATAAAGAAATGATTACATCTCCACAAAATCCAAAGATAACACAGGAAAACAGTCCTTCATCAGGTTTGGTATCGTTTCCTTCAAGGTTTGACGAAGGTGAACGTAGCACGACTTGTCCAACATGCGGAGGAACAGGACGACTTACGCAAGGTAACCTTATGACTTTATTAGCTTTATACGTAAGCTTAGTTAACAAGCAAAAGCTTACACTAAATCTAAAATAACATCACGGGGTTTTAGAAAAGCAAAACTTAGTTTTCCTATTTTTCCATTTATCTAATTTCAATATAGAGTGCAAACAATATAACCGTGAAACTTTAGTGATACTAAATAGCACAATTTCATGCAAATTCCATTGTTTTCAATTGTACTATTTAGTAATTAGTGTTTCACGGATTAATTGTTTGCACTCTAATAGTAGGTGTAGCTAGTTTCATATAGTTTTCATATTTCTTATTTCAAGTTCGATATAAAATAAAAAAAGTAAAATATTTTGTAAAACGAGAAGGCTTTTGTATATTAAATATGTCAAATGTCAATTGTTTAAATTATATTTTGTTGGGGTATGAGATTTTACAATGTCTTCAGCTTAACATTTTCTACTGAAGCCTCTACCACCAACGACATGCAAATACATGCACTCCAAGACTAATTTTTGGGGTGCATGTTACGTCATAGCTACCATGTTAGTTGATGATAACGAGCCACTAGACTCTTCCACAGTCTCTCGCTCGTCCGTTCTGTCTCCATGCTTAGAGACTGTAACGGGGCGATGACCGAAAGGACTTATGGGTCACGAAAACTGGCGAGAACTGTAACCCTAACCCTAAGCCCTAAATCGGGCAAGATGGAACGGACGAGTGAGAGATTGTGGAAGAGTCTAAATGATAATATTTTTCAAACGATTTGAGATCTCACTACRATCTATCCAAATTAAATCGCAATTTTTGAAAGACGAAAATCTGATTTTTCTTTTAACAAAATAACCAACTAAGGCCAGGACTTCATACCGGATGAACCAGTTAAGCATAGAGAACAGTTAAGTTCAATATACCTGAAGCAATCAAGCTTTGAAAAGTCAAAATGGACCAGGACTTCACACTGGATTAACCAGCTAAGCATAGAGAACAGTTAAGTTCAATATACCCGAAGCACTCAGGCTCTGACAAATCAAAATTGACCAGGACTTCATACTGGATGAATCAGCTAAGCATAGAGAACAGTTAAGTTCAATATACCCAAAGCACTCAGGCTCTGAAAAATCAAAATTGACCAGGACTTCATACTGGATKAACCAGCTAAGCATAGAGAACAGWTARGTTCAATATACCCRAAGCACTCAGGCTCTGACAAATCAAAATTGGCCAGGACTTTGTACTGGATGAACCAGCTAAGCATAGAGAACAGTTAAGTTCAATATACCCAAAGCACTCAGGCTCTGACAAA